AAAAATTTGAAAAAATTAAGTGAAAATGAAGGGCAGCCTGAATATGAACTCAGCCTTGGTCTCTGTACTGCTTTAATTCACATCTAAGACAGCCCTAAATGCTGTAACATTATTTAACATACCATGCAGAATGAGACACACTACCAGCTAACAGTATCTTTGGTGAGTCTTACAACCCATGACATGGTTAGAGCAACCTCTTCTTTTTATGTATTTTCGTTTACTTGTTCACACTTTAAGATGACCTATGATCTGGTTTCTACAGAACAGAAGCTATCAGGAGCACTTCATTTTAAGCACCTGCCTGCAGGCTCTTACCTGAGAAATCACACTGTATGTCATCTGACAAGCTTCATTTTAAAATGTTACTTGAATGCTTATACACAACCATCCTCATTAGTACAGGAATAACTTTTGAGCCAATAAAGGGAAAATTAATGTAAACCAAGTTTATTTTGCTTTTAAGTAGTGTTCTTAAAGCACTACAGCCTGGTAAACAATGTAAATTAGTATAAGTCATCTCAAAAGCCAGAGTTTTGTTTTGTTTGTTTTTTAATGAGTTGTTAAAAAGATGCAGGCTATTCTAACAGGATAAATATTTTTAACCATTTCACTTCGAGTTAATGAAGGCTCACAAATGAGCAACACTCCTCATTGAGGAAAACAAAAAGCTGTTGTCGACAAGCGACAGCACACACACACAAAAACAAAAAGAACTGTGTAAAAATAACTAACTGTGTTCCCATATTTTTTGAAGTCGCTTTACAATGGGATGATATGCACATGATCTTGCTGCAAACTTGTCATACAGACTTGTAATACACATAGTCTAGAGAAACGATTCAGTCCAAGAGGTGCTAACTTTAGACAATGCAGCACTATAATCCTTTTAACAACGCAATTTGTTTTACTCACTTTTCTTCTAGGCTGAAATACAGGCTAGAAAGAAAATGCTCCCTAATTAAAAATCGGTATTGTTTACAGGAAAAATTGTATAATTTTTGCATCAGAATTTACAAGTATATGCTCAAACTGAATTTGCCTCCTCCCCCCAGACCAGCCACAAAATGGGCATGAAGTAAAATTTTAAAAATGCCTTAATTTTCAACTTCATGCAAACTAAATAAAGATGACCAAAACAAAAGCTTAAACAATGGAAGGATATTTCACAGAAAATTTCTTATACAAAAAACACATAAGAAAAAGGGCCACTAGGTGACATTTTAATTTACAAATTGGCATCATTTTGGTCGACAAATATCCAGATGCTGTTTTATACTGCCAACAAGAGTTGCAGAGAAAAAAAAAAAAAAAACCCAGCATAATTTTGGATTTTAATCACACATTTCTTCCGGAATTTCATGTGGATTAAGGATGCCAGGGACAGACATTTGAAGTTTATGTTTCTCTTCCTGAGCCTGTCGAAGAGCTGTTTCTCTTTCTTCCAAAAACAGATCAGACGTGTCCTCACCTGCAAATTCCTGTGGAAACAGATAGTTGAAACATTAACAGAGTAAACTTCAACCTGCCTTTCGAAAAAGAAAACTGTGGGAGCCCACTATGAGGCATAGTGGGTTAAGCCTGGCTTTGCCTAATTCAACCCTATCTACTGTAGCCAGTAAGAGAGTGATAATGCACATTAAAACACATTAAAAAATGAAAAAAATCTTAAAAAAAAAAAAAAAAAGGACTATTTATGGGCACCAGTTCAAGTCCTTGGTGCTCCAAATCTGACCCAGCTCCATGCCTATGTGCCTGGGAAAGCAGAAGATGGACCAAGGACTCCTGTCGCCTGGATTCAGAAGCCTTGCCATTGAGGCCATGTAGAGTAGAAACCTCCGGAGGCAAGATCTCTCATTTCTTTGTGGTCCTCTCCCCACTCTCTCTAATTCTTTCAAATAAATACTTTAAAACCCACTATTATTTGCTAATATACATATATTTCTTCTTTAAAAGCCTGAGTGAGAGAAAAGAGCGAGAGAGACAAAAATTGACCAGTATCTTCCATCCTGATCACTCCCCAAATGGCTGCAATGGCCAGAACTGGGCCCATCTGAAGCCAGGATCTAGGAGTCTCTTCAGATCTCCCACATGGGTGCATGGGCACAAGTACTTGGACCTTCCTCGGTTGTCCTCCCAGGCAAATTAGCAGGGAGCTAGTTCGGAAGTCAAGCAGCCAGGACTAGAACTGGCATCCTTATGGAATGCTGGTGCTGCAGGTGGTGGCTTTACATGATATGCTACAGTGTCAGCCCCTATTAGCTAATATTATACATTTAAGCAAAATGAACTGTAGAGGTGGCTGGTGCTATGGGATAGTGGGTAAAGTTGCCACCTGCAGTGATGACATCCCATATAGGCACTGTCTGAAACCTGTCTGTTCCACTTCCGATCCAGACCCCACTACCATCATCTCCTTTTCTCTCTGTGTAACTCTGACTTTCAAATAAATAAATAAATCTTGTAAAAAAGGTAAAAGATTAAAGATTAAAAAAACTATTTTTTGGGGGGAAAAAATTGAAGATATTACAAAAACAATTCTTACTTCATAGTCATGGATAAATAAGCTCCCTTCAAACAACATTCTGATTGAGTCTCAGAGTCCTTGATCTCTAAGACCGTAGTTTTTTGGTTTTTATTTTTTTTTGTTTGTTTGGTTTTTTTTAGGACAGGCAGAGTGCACAGTGAGAGAAAGGTCTTCCTTCCATTGTTCACCCCCCAAATGGCTGCTGCAGCTGGCGCGCTGCGCCGATCCAAATCCAGGAGCCAGGTGCTTCTTCCTGGTCTCCCATGTGGGTGTGGGTGCCCAAGCACTTGGGCCATCCTCCATTGCACTCTCTGGACATAGCAGAGAGCTGGCCTGGAAGGGGGGCAACCAGGAAGACCGTAGTATTTTAAATCTTTATTCATTTTATGTTATTAATGAAGTGATTCTTTTTCCAATGCAACAATTAATTAATCCTATTTAGCTTAACATTTCTGCAACAGCAAATAAATACATACCTTTATCTGTACTAAGAAATCCCTTAGATGTTCCTTGAAAGCAGGAATATCCTGATTTAAGCTGAAAAGTCCTGTCACAAAGAGCTTCACTTGAGCACTACAAATCAAAACACAATGTTTAAACAATCATTTTTAAACTAGAAACTTTGGAAGCAATAATTTTAAGAATTTAAGATTTCATAAAAAATTGTTTACTCTTGTAAATGAGGGAATGCAGATTTAAGGAGATTAGCCACATATTCCTGAATAAACATCTGGTTGTTCACTGGGTTCCCAGGATTTAATGGTGTACTTATTTTGCCTTCTTCAACCAAATTAAACATATATGCAAGTATTGATGCATGCATTGTTAAACCTGTGGATAAGAAAATTATTAGTAACTCTTAAGATATAATAGAGCAATGAAAGACTTAACATTTAAATGGCTTCAAATTCTTACCAGCAGTATGTGAGGTGTCTGTCACAACAGAAAAGATATGCTGAAGAATATCACAGAAATAAGTCTGATAGAAACTCTGGGCAGCAGCTTCTTCTTGTGCAACATTTTGTAAGAGTGTAAAAAGTATTTGTAAGCCTGAAAGATGTAGAGCACCAAAATGAAGTTATTACAGACTTTAATCATGCAAACAAAACCATGACAACAAAATTGAGACATCTTCAAGAAAGTTCAAAGGAAATGTGTTTTATGAAAAAACTACAAGTGATTCCAGAATTACATTACAGAAAAATAAACTCACAATGACTTGCTACAACATGTCTCAACAGGATCTAAGCACTAAAAAGGGTAAGACATTTGTTTGAAAAGAGATCTCATGAAAACAAGGTGAATTCTACCAAAATTGAATGAAAACCAAAATCAAATTTATGTTGAAGTCTCAGTGGAAGAACCATGAAATCACTGATTCTTAATGCAAAGTTTATTGTCACAAAGCAATCAGCAGCTTGCAAATAAGTAACTCATTTTCTGTGTGCATCTATGGGAGGCTATTTTTTATAGGGGAGAAGGCTATTAAAGCTTCAGTTCTAGGGGCAAGTATCATGGCACAATGAGTTAAGCCTGACTTGCAATGCTGGCATCCCAGAATCTCGGCTACTCCATTTCGGATGACCCAAGTTCTTGGGTCCTGGCCTCCCATGTGCAAGATGAGCATGGAGTCCCTGGCTCCTGACAGGTGGCTGCAGCCGTTTGGGTACTAAAACAGTAGACTCGTCCCTCCACCCTGATGGCAGGTGGTCTCCCTTTCAAATAAATACACCAGGGGAAAAATATCTGAAATTTTTATTCCCTCCACAGAACACACATAACTAATTCTGAGCCAAAATAACATGTCTTCTACCAACATTGGTAAGAGCTTTTCAGGGCTGGCACCGTGGCCTAGCGGGAAAAGCTGCTGCCTGCAGTGCCGGCATCCCATATGGGCGCCGGTTCAAGTCCTGGCTGCTCCACTTCCATTCCAGCACTCAGCTATGGCCTGGGAAAGCAGTAGAAGATGGCCCAAATTCTTGGGCCCCTGACCTGTGTGGGAGACCTGAAGGAAGCTCCTGGCTTCGGATCGGCCCAGCTCCAGACATTGTGGCCAACTGGGGACTGAACCAGCAGATGGAAGACCTCTCTCTCTCTGCCTCTCTGCCTTTCAAATAAATAAGTAAATAAATCTTTAAAAAAAAAAAAGGAGCTTTTCAAAATTGCCTAATACTAGACAAATTTATAAACTTGTTCTTTTTACAAAAAAAATGTATTTGTTTGAAAGAATTAGAGAATTAGAGAGAGGGAGGTCTTCCATCCACTGGTTCACACTGCAATGGCTAGGAGTCAGCCATGCCAAATTCAGAGCTTCATATTAGTTTTGCAGAAAAAGCTGGATAGGAAGTGTGGCAGCCGGGACCGAAGAGCTCTCATATGGGATGCCGGCACTGAGCCCTATCATATACTTTTTAATAATCAGCTATTCAGTCCTGAAACCACCTTTGTGGCTTTTAACAGTCCTAAGTATCATAGTATTTCTTCTTATATGTATCAAAACATACTGAACAACAAGTTCTGGGTTGCAAAAGAACATTTATTGTTTGCACTGTTTATAAAGTCTTTGTCCACAAGAATGCCACAAAAACTTCTTTTAAGAAGAGATGTGTCTGCAGCGAATTCACAACAGCTAAGATATGCAATTGGCCGGTGCTGTGGCTCACTAGGCTAATCCTCTGCCTTGCGGCGCCGGCACACCGGGTTCTAGTCCACTCAGGGTGCCGGATTCTGCCCCGGTTGCCCCTCTTCCAGGCCAGCTCTCTGCGGTGGCCAGGGAGTGCAGTGGAGGATGGCCCAAGTGCTTGGGCCCTGCACCCCTTGGGAGACCAGGATGAGTACCTGGCTCCTGCCATCGGATCAGCGCGTTGTGCCGGCCGCGACGGCCATTGGGGGGGGTCACCCAACGGCAAGGGAAGCCCTTTCTCTCTTTCTCTCTCTCTCACTATCCACTCTGTCAAAAGAAAAAAAAAAAAAAAACAAAAAAAAAAGAACACAGATATGAAATCAACCCAGGTGTCCATCAACTGATGACTGGATAAAGAAATTACAGTATATATAATGCATGGGATATTACTGAAAAAAGAATGAAAGTAGTAATAGATAAAATAAAAACATAGGTAACTATTAGTAATGTGTAGGAATGAAATCGAAATTTTCAGCTTTGATCCCTTTACAGCCCTTGTCTCTACTGTTGAGGAACAGTGTTTTTTTCATCTTACTATGTGAATTCTTTACTTAGTGTAGGGTTAATCTTATGAGTATAAACTAGACTGAGTGTAGATCATCTCAAAATTAAAGGAATGGGAAAGGAAGGAGGAAGGAAAGTGGGAGCATGGATAAAGTGAGGGTAGTGTGGTAAGTATTACTAGCTCCTAAATCTGTATATGGGAAAACATGAAATTTGTTCACCTTAAGAAAAATAAAAGAGAGCTCGATTGGAAGTGAAGCAGCCAGGACTCAAAGCAGTGCCCATATGGGATGTTAGCATCACAAGCAACAGCTTTACCCACTATGCCACAATGCTGGTCTCCATCCACAAATTTAATTATTTCGTGCCCTAATTAAGAAGAATGATGATTCACAGCAGAAATGATACCCCAAGGATTTGGGCCATCTTCTACTGCTTTCCCAGGCCATAGCAAAGAGGTGGATCAGAAGTAGAGAAGACGGGACTTGAACCGGCACCCATGAGATGCTGGCTCTTCAGGCCAGGGCTTTAACCCGCTCTGTTGCAGTGAAAGCCCTTGGTTATCTTTGCTTATAAAAGTATCTTGAACTTCACAGAGCTCTTAGTTGAGGATAAAGTCTGTGTTCTTCTCTTTTCCATATAGTGGTGAAGTTTTATCAAACAACTATCCTTAAGAATACATAAAGTAGCTCCAAGCCAACCCTGTTATCTATGGGGCATATTTTATGTTCGAAGGACATTAGTACATGTCTTTAGAAACTACATATAAAATATCAAACCCTCTGTGTACTATGCTTTTTCCTTCATCTATGATATAAATTTAAAAATTAGGCACAGTAAGAGATTATAACAACAATGCTAATAGAAATTACCACCATTAATACTCTTCTGTTTGTAGTGATTATTAAAAAGGTAATTTGAATAGACTGCAAATTGAAAACAGAGATTCCAAGTAACTAATGAGCTGGAAGCTCATACAGTCTGGGAAGCCCCTGCTTCCCATGTGGGAGACCCAGAGAAAGTCCTAGCTTCCGGCTTTGGCTTGCTCCAGCCACAGCCATTGAGACCATCTGGGGAGTGAATCAGCAGGTAAAAGTTCTAACTCTTTCAAATACGTAAGTGAGCAATTTATTTTTGGTAACACGGTAGATCAGAGAGGGAGAATACAATGTACGTTTTTAAAATGGAAGGCAGATGAACAAAAGGACATCTTTTCTATGTATTTACCTGTATCTGCAACATTCCTCATAGTATGTTTGAAAGCCCAAATGATGGAATCCAGAACAAGCTTAAACTGTGCAGGTGGAATAGCTAGAAATGCTGGGAAACAATGAGAATTGACAGCTTGAAGTAGTAAGAAAAAGTTTGTTCTGTGTTCAGGATATTCTTCAAAGTCCTAAAAATAAATAATGGGGATAAAACATTTCATCACCTTAGTTCTGTTAAATGGGAAGCAACAGTCAAGCCTTAATTCAGTATGATTGGTGTTGTCCTCTTACCCTGTAATATACTGCTTCCTAAGAGAAACTCAAACAAAAGAGTTTCACATTTATTAAAAAATTAAATAACTAAGACTGTATGCATGAATTATCAAATTGAAAAATGAAAGTCACCTTATTAAATGAAGAGAGGTCATCAAAACCACATAAAAATACCAAATTCTTGAGATTATCACCAATTTTGGTTTTGTTACTTTGGGACCACTATATTAAAAGTTAGCAACTGTGTAAATCTGTACACATACATCAAAGCTTTTCTCTTCAGGAATAATGTATTTTTCAATTTATTATCGGCAAATTATTCATGTTTCTAACTGAAAATCTGGACTGCATTTTCATTTATTTAAACCTATAAATACAATTTAATCCTTAAAAAAATAAAGGCTGATATGCTGCAAGTTTAATACATGCTAGGTGTTTCAAAGTTAAAATGTATTTTCCTTTCCTGATTTGGAAATTCAAATATTTAACTCCAGGGCCTTAAAACTACAATACTCTCAGATAACAATGACACTTTCAAGAGTTAAGGATATAGAGCAACATTTTTCATTATGTAATTAAAATGTAAATCACATACCTTATTTATCATATTCAATGTGCATTCAAAAACAGCATCAAATATTTGAGGTATTTCAGCTGTTATATGTCCTCCTAATTTGTTGACAATAATGGCCATGGTACTAAGCACTTCTGGTTCTCTAGCAGCTGGGACATTTCTCTGATAATCAATGAGAACTGCATCCAACAGAGGAGGAACAAAATTTTCAGCTACCTGTTGGGGTAATAAAAAATAAGGAAAATCAGATTTAATCCAGGCACTTGCTATCCTAACAACTAGGTTATTCTTATCAAAAGATTTAGGTTGATCAAATCTGCTGAAAATGGGAGATCCTGTGTGTTTATCAGGTTTGTCTACATTAAACAAGTTACCAGAGAAAGAAAGATTAGGATCAGTCATGGATACAGTGTAGTTCAAATATATTCTAAAGAAAGTGAAGGGGCCAGTGTTGTGGTCCAGCAGGTTAAGCCACTGCTTGCAACAATAACATTCCTTACCAGAGGACAGTTTCAAGTCCTGGCTGCTCAGTTTCTGAACCAGCTCCCTGCCATCTGTTCCTGGGAAAGCAGAAGTATCTGGGCCCTTACCACTCACTTGGAAGACTGGTTTGGGCCTGGCCCAGTCCTGGCTGTTGTAGCCATTTGGTAAACTCTCTCCCTAACTCTGAGTTTCAAATAAATAAATAATTAACAAACAACAGTTCTCTACTAAGACACAAAAAATACAACCCATGTTGTTATAGTAGTGTCCAATAATACAAAACAATATTTGAAAGATAATTTCTAATTACTACCCATTTGGTGTCTCTAAAACTAGAATGGACTCATTTCCACCAACACTGACTTTCGCTACAAACCAGTTTTTAAAATACATCCTTGAATTTACTCCCTAAAACATAAACTTACCTGATTCCTTTTTTACTACGGTGCTCACAAAATTTGTTCAAGTTACTGTAAATTTAAAATCTTAGAATTCCTTCAATTCATCCTATCTTCTATTTCCAATTTCGATCGAAATACACTTCCGATGACATAAAACACTTTTTTTTTTTTTTTTTTTTTGACAGGCAGAGTGGACAGTGAGAGAGACAGACAGAGAGAAAGGTCTTCCTTTTCCATTGGTTCATCCCCCAATGGCCGCTACAGCTGGCGCACCGCGATGATCCGAAGGCAGGAGCCAGGTGCTTCTCCTGGTCTCCCATGGGGTGCAGGGCCCAAGCACTTGGGCCATCCTCCACTGCACTCCCTGGCCACAGCAGAGGGCTGGCCTGGAAGAGGGGCAACCGGGACAGAATCCGGCACCCCGACCGGGACTAGAACCCGGTGTGCCGGCGCCGCAAGGCGGAGGATTAGCCTAGTGAGCCGAGGTGCCGGCTAAAACACACTTTCAAAACCTTTTAATGCTCAGTTTAGCTCCTTTAAAAACACTTTGTGAGTTACACTTCAACAAATATCCTGAAAAATATTTCCTTATCAAGGAGCAGTATCAGAATTTTAGGGGTACAAGTCAGAAGATACCCCTCTCTCTTGCTGTTTATCAAATATAAGAAATAAAAAAAAAAAAACAAGGAAAAACTTGAAAATTTTCATGAATCATACACTGAAAAAAGTTTAATTTTTTAAAAGATTTATTTATTTATTTATTTATTTATTTATTTATTTATTTATCTGAAAGCCAGAGTTCTTCTATTTGCCAGTTTACCCCTCAAACTGGCCGCAACTGCTGGAGCTGAGCTATCTGAAGCCAGGTGCCTAGAGCTTCTTCTGATTCTCCCATGTGGGAGCCCAAGGACTTGGGCCATCTTCTGTTGCTTTCCCAGGCACATTAGCAGTGAGCTGGATCGAAAGCGGGGCACCCAGGACACAAACAGGCGCCCATATGGGATGCCAGCACTGCAGGTATTGGCTTTACCCACTACCCCACAGCGTGGGCCCAGCATAAGGGACTTTCTTACTGAACAGGCAATCTATGGAAAGTTTTGTAGTTGTACAATTAATCTCAAAATTGTGATATACAAAAATTGCACATAGGTTAAATCTAAATTGTTTCCTACATACCCACAGAAATTGTAATGAGCTCTTTATCTTATATTAAGTAGCTATAAAATAATCAAACATAGACATCTACATTATATTCAGATTGGCAATACACACATATAAAGAGATAAACATATTTTGGAGAATGAGTCATTATAATAAAAAGCCAAGAAACCCAAAACATCTCTCTTACCATTTGTGGATCATTGGACCGGCTTACCCAACCAGATATCAACTTTAATGTTTCCCTTTTTACTGTTCGCATACTTCTAATCAATGGTTGCTTTGTAACCATTTCACCTAAGAAACATAAACAAGTAGAAT